AGAATTACACCGACAATATGCGTGTGTACTTCTGCATATACTTAAGTACACGCGTATACATATAAACGTAATTATGTGTAATATGTTACCAAGATGCAAGAAAGTGTTAACGTTTTTTGTAAATTTTTCTATACTTATTTATACCATCATTAGAGATCATTCTGAGAATGCTGCAAATAAGTAACTAATAAATGAACCATATTTTATGATTCATCTTGATTGTCCACAAGTGTATTATTATCAGTGTTACTTTCAATTCAAACTAAAATTAATTATTAATTAAAAATTCTCCGCTAGAAGAAAAACATATCTGAAAGTGTAACTGTGCGTGAATGAATTGCAGAAAAAACGTTGTCAATGCTTAAAGAATGTCTACGGTTATGACGACTTGAGAAATAATGAGACATTATGAGAGAAAAAAAACAGAACATTTATTTCTCAGTAAAGAAATAAAAGGGAATGTCTATACTTTAATATTTTGAATAAAAGAAAAGCCACGGCAATTTAAGAAATATCTCTATATCTCTGAGATGAGGTAGTATGATTATTTACATTATTCGGACTGTTAGCCTCATCTTCACTGTCATATTCACAACGTTTCGGCCGTTGTACGCTCCGGCATTCTTCAGGTGTTTGGAATTTCGAACCAAACCTTTTATTTCGTCCACCAGGGTAGATTGTTCTAGTTCCACAAGGACACATGGCCAAGTGAATAAAGACGTTGGTTAGATCCATTGACGAGATCCAAAGAGTTGTGAGTTCAATACCAAGCTACAGCAGTGGTGAAACAAAAGATAAATAAAGAGTTGAGTTAAAGGAAAATAGCCGAGACATCAAGAAGAGGCATGAAACGTGGAACTAGAACAATCTACCTTGGTGGATGAAATAAAGGGTTCTGTTTGAAATTCCAATCACCTGAAAAAGGCCGGAGTGTACAACGGCCGAAACGTTGTGAATATGGTAGTGAAGATGACGATAACAGTTTGAATAATGTAAATAATGTAAATATGCAATTTAAAAGTTGCTATCCCATCCGTGGTATATTTTAAAGGAGTTTCGGGAACTGTCATTCTCTTTCTATTGTAAAATTTACATTTCCACATTCCGGCAACTTTTGCTAATATCATTTTTTTTTATGCTGGTTGTCGTGGGAGAGAAGCTAAAATCGCTACACTTTCGCCTCACTCCAAACCAAATTGAAGAACTCTAAAGTAGAACTCTACCATAATCCTTACAATTTCATTAAATCTTATTTAAACTAAATGATTATTGTTTCTTTCGCATTTTTTCTTATTGTCGCATAAATTCATGAAACCGCTCAGTTTTTTATTACTAATGGCAATATAATGTAGAAAAATATATACTGAGACGAGGAGACACATCTGTTTTTGAATAAATAGTAGATTCAAGTTATTCGTTTCTATTATACGTACATGAATCCACGAACCAAAATACAATACACTCAGTGGAATATGAAATGTTAAACAAGATTTCAAGCTTTTAAATTTTTAATGAGATTTCTCTTATTCTGAGAGAATTCCTTGTATATTGTCTGTCACTTTGTAAGCAAAGAATGGTGACAACTCATTTCAAGTTAGAATATACATTGGATTGTCAGAAAAATTCATACCAATTTTTAGTCGTTCATGTTCCAACACGTTAAAACACGGCAAATTTATCAACAGATATAACATACTTACATTTCCGATTAGAGCACACTACAAACTATCTTTTGAGAAAGTTTAAAATTACTTAATTCGTGTAACTTTTGCATCCTTATGAAAATGGAAAATTATAAGGTGAATTTTAGAATCTTGATACTTTTTTTTTTACCGTAAAGGCAAAAATGCCTCGCAGAAAAACAAAAAGTTATGTGTTGTGTTCGGTGATATAGCCCACATTGCGCAACGCTGGAATTGGCAGAAACACTAAAGTTATCAATATCCACCATCCATGTGCACATAGTGAAGCTTGGGTACTCAAATTGCTATAATTGCTATAATTGCTGAGAGAAAAGAATCTTTTGAATCGCATTTCATCTGTGATTTTCTGTATAAATGCAAGAAAATGTACCCTTTTTAAAGCAAATCCTGACGGATGATGAGAAATGGATAGTTGACAACAATGTTCAGCGACAAAGATCCTGGAGTAAGCGACAAAGATCCTGGGGTAAGCGACAATGAGCCAACTTTAGCCACCTCAAAAGCAGATCTTCATCTTAAGAAAGTCATGTTGTTCATCTGGTGGGATTAGAAAGGGATTCTGTCCTAGTTTCTGCCAAGTCAATAGATTCTGAAAATTACTGCTCGAAACTGGACGAATTAAAGGCATCAATTCAAGAAAAACGCGCAAAATTGGTGAACAGGAAAGGTGTTGTTTTCTTTCAGGATAATACTAGACCTCACGTTTCTTTGGTAACTCGGAAAAAAATTGTTGTAGCTTGGCTGGCCGTTACCCCCCCCCCCGCCCGCCATATTCACAAGTGATTGCTCCTTTGGATTTTCAGTTATTCAGAATAAATCTGAATGGTAAATATTTTAATTTTGGGGAATGGCATAAAAACAACCTTAACGAGTTCTTTGCCGAGAAACCGCTGAAATTCTGGGAAGATGGAGTCTTTAAGTTGAAGGAAAAATTGAGAAAGGTTGTGTAACAAAATGGTTCATATATATATATATATATATATATATATATATATATATATAGAGAGAGAGAGAGAGAGAGAGAGGGGGGAGTGAGAGAGTGCAGGATACATTAATAGAGAGAGAGAGAGAGAAAAAGTGGACAAATGGAACAACATTGCTAAGGCAGCTGTTTCACGCTTCAATGCGAACACGCACACAGATATATATATATATATATATATATATATATATATATATATATATTGACAACTCACATTCAGTTAAGACCTCTTTATTTATCTGCCTCGCTAGCTAGTTATCTTACCTTGTTTTATGTGCATGGGAGGGTGTGTGTGTGTGTGTGTGTGTGTGTGTGTGTGTGTGTGTGTGTGTGTGTGTGTGTGTGACGAATATGAAAGAATTGTTTCATTGGAACATATATTTCTATAAAGACTCAATATGATTTTGGTGCCATCGTCGCTATATTTTTACATTTCGTGAAATTTCGAATTACTATTTTGCTATTTTTATATATATGTTGTAGAAATTTATAAAAAAAGCGATAGCGACGGAAAAAAAGAAAGAAAGAAAGAAAGAAAGAAAGAAAGAAAGAAAGAAAGAAAGAAAGAAAGAAATAATATTATACCAAGGGAAGGAAAACATAAATAACTAAGAAGGGATACCGAAACCACTTTGTTATTTGGTCAGATTTTGGGAACTATGTCAGGTCTAGAATTGTTCAGCATCCCCTTATGTATATTAGGGGTGAAGAAGGAAAGTCGGTGAAAGAGATTCTTGCAAAATCCAAATTCTATGTCTTTTTATATAAGAAGATATACAAGTGTAGTTTTGAATTGGAAGCATAAATATTCATAGAAATGTGTTTCTACATGTAAAATAAAAGTCTTAGATAAATTCAGACGTCCGTCGTTATCAGTCAACTTTAATATCATTTTCTGCTTGGGTCTAAATCACATTAATTCAAGAATATATTATAACCACATCCAAGATTCAAGAACACAAACACAAACGCTTAGCTTAGGTACAAAAAAAACTTCTGTCGATACAGTGAAATATTGTAAAATTAGGGTTACGAGGAGAGGCTTAAATTTTTCAGCACCCGAAGACCATTCATGAAAAAAAAGCAAAAAACAAAATCTGATCTTTAATCATTTGGTAGGATGTTCAAAAACCGATAGAGCCTAGAGCTGATTACATAATTCTATGTAATCATTTATATACCGGGTGTAACAACAAAAATCGTGGAACACAATGGGATATTGTCCATCCCACAATGTGTTTAATATCTAAAAAAAACACTAAACTAATTGAGTTTCTTTTTCCCAAGTTTTACAAATATGACGTTTAGCCATCTTGAAACAATTTGTTCTAAGAATCACTGAAAAACCTTTTGAGTTATTAAGCTAGAAAGAGAATAGGTTAAAATCATTTTGTGTCAGCCCTAATATGTCTTTACAACTGAGTAAAGGTGATAGGAAAAAGTTCATTCAGACCTTCAGTAATGGTACCAACATTTATACTCTGGTTTCCATCTTCAAAGTCCATTCAAGAACTATCAAGAGAACAGTGAATAAGTTTTAAAAAAAAGAGCGAACCGTATAGATGTGGATCATGAGGTCACAACAGTAAGAGGAATCATCATTTCAACTTAGAGCTAGACACATTCTTATTGTTCAAAGTAGAATCCAATAGTATTATAAAAAGCTACGAGAATTCCAGTATGATATCTTTAATCATTTATAAGAAACAACGGTTCAAAGCTGAATCTAACAATCAGACAATTTTGCTGTTACACACACACGCACACACACACACAAAGAGGACCTCTCTCTCTCTATATATATATATATATATATATATATATATATATATATATATATATATATATATATATATATATATATATATATATATATATATATATATATATATATATATATATATATATATAGAGCGTAAACAGAAGAAATCAACATTGTATATTGACTGTTAATTTAATATCTTAAATTGCTCGTTACCATTCATTCGTGATTTCTATATCTATATATATACGAATGCTTGATATTGTGCACTATTTATTCATTTTTTATTAGATCCGATGTACTTTAGACCGTAAAATCTGCCGGATTAAGAAATAAAAATCCACCATTTCTTTGGAAATTAGTTGTTTACGTTAGGATACGAAACGGAGTGGATATAAATGTTTCTAGAGTGTGGGAATCATTTTCATTTATAAGGTATTTATTCAACTTTACTTGATCATCATTATATTTGCTGGGCGCGACGGTCGGAAGCACGTCGGATCTAATGAAAGTTTCCCCATGCCGGAGGGAGCTCATTATTTTCATTAATAAGATTTCGCTAATATTCTATCTATCTATCTATCTATCTATCTATCTATCTATCTATCTATCTATCTATCTATCTATCTGGTTATGCATATATATATATATATATATATGAAACATGCACACTATTTATATAGTTAAGTGACTAAATATAGACGAAAATCAATACTGATTTACTCTTTAATAAATAAGAGGAGCGTCTACTCAAATATGGGTATCCACTAAAAATGACATTTAAAATGATCTCTCTCTCTCCCTCTCTCTTTATATATATATATATATATATATATATATATATATATATATATATATACAATAGAAACAAAAGGAAACTTTTCTTTAGCAACAGGTTTCATCCCCTGAAGGATTTTATCAAGGTAAATGTAAAGATTTTATTTTGCAAAATGTATTTATAAACAGAATTAAAAGATATAGTTAAATTTTCAAAAATTTTATATAATAAAGAACGCTATTTTACATATATATTCTATTTATATCTGAATTTCACGCGCGCGCGCACACACACACATATATATATATATATATATATATATATATATATATATATATATATGTATATTCTTCTGCAGTACCACATTTTTGTTGCTTCAAGTTTTCTCTTCATCTTTATGGAGATCGGTACTCACTGTCATAGAAGAAAAGACATCATATAACAGTTTAGTACGCTTTTCTCTTGTTCCTACAGAAAATTTTGTATTTCTTAGTACTTTACTTAGCTTGTGGAATGCTTCCTTAGCTATCCCAATACACCTTCGGATGTCAGGGTCGCTCTTTCTGTCCTTGGAGTTCGCATTCATTTGCACCTGGCTTTTTAAGCAGTGCTATGAAAATAGATCTAATTGTGTGTTTCCAGTATATTGCCACAGTAGGAGTTTCATTTATTATTTCTGTGATCTTGTCTATGCTGAAATCATCTAAGGTTGCCAGCATCTCTATTACAATTCCGATTGACCCTGTTGCTTTGTTTCTCTTCAATTTGGCCAATGCTGCTTCCACTTCAGATTATAATATTTCCGACCCGTCGATATTTCTATGTATTGCTGATTGTTCTTTTTCGTCGTGGAAGATATCTCCAATATATTTTTTCCATCTTTGGAGTATTTTTTTCTTTTTCTAATATCATGCAAAACCTCATTAGACTTCATGCATCGTGCTGATGAGCATGTCTTTTAGTTAGTTCTCTTATTTTTATGCATGTCTGTTTTATTTGTGATACTCATTTTTCCTATTTGTGCGTCTTTTTCTTTGAGTCATTCCTCTTTAACCTGCCTTCATTTGTTCTTTATTTCTTTGTATAATGTCCTATATTCTGTTCCGCCTCTTGGGTATAGTTTTTTTTTCTCTCTTTTTCATCATGTCGAGAATTCCGTTTATCATCCATTCATTTTGTTCTTCGTTTATAATCTTTTGGGGTTGTTTCGATTGCTGCTATTAAAGCTTGTCTTAAAAATATCCCATTTTCCTTTTGTTCCTCGTATCTGCTTTTCACACTGTCAATTTTCTTTAGATCCATGTCGTTCAAGAGTCTATCGTATTGCAATTTGGGTACTGCTTTAGCCTTTTTCAATTTCTGCAGTTTCACTCTAAGCTTACATATTACTGGAAGGTTATCGCTTCTACAGTCGGTGTTTAGATATGATTTGCAGATTAAAACTGATTCCTGAATCTCTTGTTGATAGTTACATAGTCAATCTGGATTTTTGTTTCTTCCCATAATATCCATATTCGTCTTGGTTGTTCTTGAAACCATTTGTTGGCTATTATTACCTGGTCATTCGCCACACACCATTGGACCCATTTTCCTCCGGGTTCTTTACGGAGTCCTAGTTCGAACTTGTCAACTATTTCACCGTCCTTCTCGTTGCCTACTATGGCCTTCGACTTATTATATTATGATTTCTTGCAATTTGCAAAGGGCTTTGGCGTCATCTAATGTAGAGTAGAACTCCATTTTCTTCTGTACTTTGTGCTATCGGTGCATGCACAATTATGATGGCTATTTTAAAAGTCTTCCTCTTCAGTTTAATCAAAACAATTCTTTCAGATATTTGACAGTATCTCAGGACGAATTTTTTCATGTCTTGGTCTAGTATCAATCCTACTCCTCTTTCATTTTTCTCTCCGCATGCGTGCATGATCCTGTGTTTGTCACTGACAAAATCTCTGTTCTTTGTCCACTCGGTTTTGCATATGTCTAATTTTTTGTTTTAGATTTTCCACAGTGGTTTAATGTTTAAAAATTCCATACCCCGATAATTATATTTTGTTTGATGAGAACAGACGCTAGGTGACGGTCAGATGACATCTGTAGCACATGTCGCTCCTTACCGGGCGAGGGATTAGTTCCAGTAGACTTAACCCCACTTCACGCCGTTACGTTTCATATTTTGTTTGTTAAATGCCATGATATTTTATGGGATTGATAGCGGAGTGGTTTCCCGTTTCCTTCTTCACAATGGTTATTGAGCTGGTCGTTGTCTCACCAAGAGTTCTTCCGCCCTTTGTTAGGTCTTGTTTTTCATCCTACAGAGTTACTAACAAACCCGCCTCAGTCGTTAAAAGTTGGAGTGGGGTAAAAACATGCAATGATAACAGCAAAAATTGCAATATGAGCACTGTTAAAAAATGGTTGCTGAAAACATTAGGTTTATAATACCCAGAAATTCATACCCAGATGTCCTCAAGGACACATGGCACAGTGGATAAAGGCGTTGGTTAGATCCAGTGACAGACCCAAAGAGTGTGAATTCAATACCCGGTTAAGGTAGTGGAGAACTTTCAGAGGGAAAATTAGCAGGCCATAACTGATAACTGACATCCATCAAATTAAATTAAAGGAAAGAAAAAAACCAGCACCCTAGAAGTTGGAGTATTTCTTTGCACTGTGTCCACTATAAGATTTTGGTTTTATCTACTAAAATTTGTCCAATGTTATTATTTTGCTTATTTTTTTATATGTTCATCTCTATGTAATCGAATTGCACTAAATTTCGAGAAAGACAAGACAACCTACGAACGGGGGGTGGTGCATGCGTGATCAGAATTTAATGTCATTTATTGTTTGTTACTGTTGGAGATACAATCACCCAAAGGATATAAGCATTCATAAACAATATTATTTTTGCATCAGGTGGATTTTTTATGTGATGAATTATTTCTAAGTATTTCATTGAACGTTTTGAATTTTTTTTAATAATAGATGATAAATCTAAGATATTTGTTAGGATCAATAACTTTTCCGGCGAATTATAATTTTCATAGCCTTTTTGTCCTGTTTATAATTAGGATGTCTATAAAACAATGTATCCAAAGAGGACATTAAAAATTAAGTAAGCATGAATTTTTACTAGTGGTCTTTTTATATAGTGAAGTAATGAAATCATTATTTTTAGCATCTGCTAGAACCTTCAGGAAAAAGTTTTTTTTTTAATGTTGAGTTCATAAGACTGAATTATTGAACTACGTTACATTCAAATGCTTCTTTTAGGGGATTTAATCCATCTTTGTTAGGATTGAACTCACTATTCTAGTCGTAATTGATCTAGCAAGACAAGCTTGTTTACCATTACACCACGTTGAAGGGCCCAAGTGATTTTCTAAGAGTAGCTTATATGTGGCACAAAGCCGAAAGTGTGGAGTACCGAATAAGGACCGAACTCACTACTAAGTCCACTCTTCAAGAGGTTTCAACAATTGACTGCCGATTTTCTCATCTTTTACTATCTTTATACTGTTTGATTTTAAATTTGACATGCTTATGGAGAAGAGCGCTCAGTAACGCCTGATGATCATTTAATGTGTGAAACTGATAGTAACCGTGCAGTGTGGATTTCTGTGTCTTCTCTGTGTCATCTCTCTTCATCCTTTTCTCTCACTCTGTATTTCTCCCTCTCTCTAACACATGATTGTGTGTGTGTGTGTATATATGTGTGTGTAAAATGTGTCTAAAAGTTAAAAATTGACAATATTCCTGAAGACGCTATACAGAAGTCAAATTTATTGCTGAAAAAATATTTTGTATACAAGCAGATTTCGTGCATATTTAAGCAGTAATCTATGTTTAATAATTATGGCCTTTTTTTCAGAGGTCCGCCATATTTTTTGCTTCTAAAAAAATTCTTACATCAGTTTCTCTTCTATTTCTCAGCGTCCACTTCTCTTTTCTATTTGTTTATTTAATCCAGTTCAGTTTTTGTAGATTTTGTTAAATAATTTATTCTTATTTCACATTTTCTTTCTTAATTCATTTTTTTTTGTTTTTGTTCTTAAGCAAAAGGTGTTTTTAGATTGACTTTTTAGCCCCGCTGTTTTTTTACTTTATTTACCTTTTGCCTTTTAATTTTTCCTCGTAATATTTTATCCAGTCTTCTCTTTGTAAATTAGCGCCGATTTATTCTTTTTTTCTTTTATCTTCTTCTGACAATCATTATTCTTTTCTTTTCTTTCGTCATCTCTTTTATTATCGAAATCTATTGAAATGGCCACAATGTAGATTAACTTTGGGAAGAAGATTGTATTAGGCGAATCTGTCAACTAAGAACTTTCCTGCATTCAGAACGCTTTTATCTTTTCTTCATTTCTTTATATACTTGAAGAAACGTTTTCTCTTTTTTTTTTTTCCAATTCAATACCTTTCCTACACTGTCCCCTCTTTTTTATATTCAATAATTTAAATATTTCCTTATCTTTTCTTTTTTTTTCTTTCTTCTTTTATGTTTAAAAGCTTTTACATCTTCATTTGTGTTTTAAATCAAATTCTTCTTTTCCGACTCCTACTTTTCATTCCTTTGCATAATCTCTCTCCAATTCTCTTTTATTTCCCTTCTATTTTCTTCATTCAAATCTATTTATTTGCACACAGTTACCATCTACCTAGAGGCCCTTTTACAATTTACTGACGCAACTCCCAGAAAATCGCACTGAAAAATCTCGCTTAACTGCTACAAATATTTTCTTTGCCATCGCAATATCTCTTTTTTTTCTTTGCCTTTACCGCCTTCAAAAATTAGCATATTTCACTTTCCTATGTATATTTGTTCGTTGTTTTCGATATCAAATGTAAA